ACTTTGCGCTTTTCGTAAAATAATCTTCCGCTGTAAATCATATTAATATTGTAATATCGCTCTTTCTTCTCTCGTCTAGCTACCTTAATGAGAATCACATCCATCAAATCCGTCCGGGCATGTTTCCTCTACTCACAAAGCTGCATACGCTATCGCTGGCGCACAATCGCATCGTCGACATCGAACGGAATTCGTTTACATTCCCGCGGTTATTGCATTTGTAAGTATATTTACGAAAATATTATTAAGCTATGGGGGGCAAAGCGGCAGGCATGGGGTGCATACTAGTGCATTCACGTAAAAGGGGATTAGAGTGAAATAACTCGCTTAAGCGCACAAAGTGTTATATTTGAGTCGCATAACATATGTGCGAATACTTGTTTGCGTGTAAGTGTATATGTATATGCGTGCACGCGTTTACATTTCGACAACATATGCAAATCTGTTTTTCCGAAAATTTCACGCCTCACCCCCCCTCAATAAAATCCTTTCAAGCTTCCATGCACATATAACCAAAGTACACATGCACTTACATGGGTCGTTGGAAACACAAATTTAAATGTAAATATATATATACGTATGTAGCTATGATTGCGCGCATATTTTATCTCCCGATTCAGTTATTGTCGGTTAGTACATTTTGCTTATACGCGCGACAAACTTTGTGCCAAAACACCCTTCTGCCAAAAATGCTATTCAAAACACAGCCATTCACCGGAAATTTGCGCAAAGTGTTGTAGAATTAATACTCGCACTCGCTCAAGACGAAAGCGTGGAAAGCGGCAAACTGTTGTTGTTGTGTGTTGTAAAATTAATGCAGCTGCCACCGGAGTTTAGTATGGATACATTTAATATAACAATTGCAAACAAAGCGGAAACTGCTCTAACATGCAGATAACTTGGTGTTTACGAGCGTTTCGCATTCGCAGTTGCATAAAAATGTCAAATTTCGACAGCTTTATGTGCCATAATGACCAACGAAAATCGATTTACAACTTTTTACACAATTTACTTTGAAGTGTATTTTAATATTTCCCCATCGATGACAATATTTGCGAATGCAACCTGAACATAAATTTTGGCTGTTTTGAAAAATGGAAATAAAGTTTTGATCACTTAACGATTGGACATCATTTTTAGCTCATTGAGAAACTGGCCAAAGTTTTTGGCCGAACATCATTTTTTAGCCACTTACATACTAGTTTTTGGCTACAAAAAACTGAACATAATTTTTGGATATTTAAATTTTAGGTCCGCCAAAATTGGGTATAAAAAAATTTAGTTAGTTAAAAACTGTACATGAAGCAATATTAAACTAGACAGCTTTTTTGGTTATTAAAAAACTGAATTGATTATTTAAAAAAAAAAACTGGACATAAATTCTTGCTAATCTAAACACTGAACGTGAATTTTTTAATAATTCAATAATTGGAAAGAAATTTGTGGTAACTTAAAACTGGATATAATTTTTGGCCATTTAAAATATTTTAATATTATAAAAACTGGACATAACTTTTTAATACTTTTTCAGAATTGTACCACCAAACGAATTTTTTGCTAATGCAAACTTTTGGTTGCTTTTTTTTTGTAATATAAAAACAAGATACAAATTTTTTATCATAGAAAAACGAACCATAATTTTTTGGTTTTTTGAAAATTAGACAAAAAATTGTGGTCACTAAAAAACTCGATATACATTTCTTCTAATTTAAAAGTTAGGTAACTAAAACCCGGACATAAATTTATGGTCACTTAAAAAGTGGACATAATCTTTTAATGTTTTTAAATATTTTGGTACCATATAAAATAGAAAAAAAATGTTTGGCCATTGAAAAAAATGGACATCTTGTAAAACTGGACATAATTTTAAAACCCGAATCCTAGAATTTACACTTTATTGAGCAAAAAGTGGGCAACGGTTATTTCATTTAAAAATATGCAAATAGAAATTGGAGCAATAAAAACGTTTTTTTACGAGCTTTGGTGAATGTCAACTTTTTATTGTTCCAGGTTTTCTTGCCCTCTTTTACCATTCTCTACTTTCTACCGCGCATATTTTTAATCCCCTCCCTTAAAGGATTATGAAAGATTATACTCACTTATCACCGTAAATTTTATATGTTCAGTTTACAAATATATAGCTTAACATTTACATCTTGTGTTTATAAGTACCTTTAATTTTTTAGGTAGCTTTTTCTTCGATTCTCTAATCCATCTCTGCTTGACACAAAATATATTCGCTTTTTTATTGTTTTATTTGATTTTTCTTTTTCTCCTTGCAGATTTTTAGCCGGTAATCGTTTGACGGTGCTGCGAGCGCATACATTTTGTCCTTTACGTCTGCTGCAGGGACTGTGAGTATCGATTTCAATTATGCATACATACATACAATCATACAAACATATGATTACCTAGTAAATTAGCTTTTGTCTTGGAAATAATATTATTGTCTGTATAAATAAATAGAAGACATTTTCCATGGTATTTCGTGTGGAGTGTGATATATGCGCTCATCTGCTATCTTTGCTTTGGATATTGATGCTTCGAAGTTTTTTTGCATTCAAAGTTTTGCACAACCTAATTTTTTTTTATAAAAAAAAGTGCGTCATATAATCAGAAAAAAAAGTATTAACACATGTTTTTAGCAACTTAAAACTTGCACTTTATTATACTAGAATTTAATTGACTATTCAACTGCATACTCAAAAAAATTTTGAAAAATTTGAATAAAAAGTTGAAAATGTTTATAATTTTTGCATGAAGTTTGAAATGTGGATTTATATGGTGTTTGTTATATAATGAGCTAGACTTTTATGAATAACTTAGCAAATACCCAGCGTGCTTCATTGCACCTTAAAAATATTTTTGAGTTACTTGATATCCGTATTGTAAAATTTCATTTATTTTATCAATTTAATTGAATACA